CTCATGGTTGTCTTGATTTGCATCTCTCTCAGGGCTAGGGATTTTGAACATTTCTTCATGTGCTTGTTGGCCATCTGAATGTCTTCCTTGGTCAACGGTCTTGTTTTAGGGGGGGTTTATACCATCATTCATCTACACAATGTCTTTTATAGAATTACTGTTGATCTTTGCTTGTTCCTTCACATCCCCATCCACGAACTAACCTGAGCCGTCCTAGTGATTTTTCTCCATTTTGAACATTTGTGCACACCTTGCTCAGTTACCCTATTGCTATTTTTACAGTAAGTCTTATGCGGTATTGGTCCTTATGAGGCTGAGTTAGTTCACCCCGCATGACTTTTAGACTCTCTCATGTTCTATATTACTTAACAAAATCATTCCTTAGTGCTGCACTGTGGGAACGTACCACTGTTTCTCAAATCCATTAGTTCTCGGTTCTGATTTCCTTTGGATGCATTCCTAGCAGAGATACCTGGGTCATATGGAATTTTTATGTTCAGCTTTTGGAGAAAATGCCAAACCACCTTCCAGAGCGGTTGTACCATTTTACAGTGCCGCCAGCAGTGCCTGAGAGTTCCAGTCTCTCCACATCCTCTTCAGCATTTGTCTTGTTTTTAAATGTTGCTGCTGAAGGAAATGCTGTCTGTTGATTTGCATCTCTTAATTGTTACGTTGACCATCCGCATGTTTTCTTTTGTTAAGAGTCTTTTTATATCTTTTGCCCGTTTCATGATTGGCTTCTCAGTCTTCTTCTTGTGGAGGCCCTGTTGTTCTTATGTGCTGTTGATTCAACAGGGACTCACAGCGACCCTATGCACGATAGCTCTGAACCCTGCCCCCATTACCCTAGTTACTTTGTCAGTCCATCTGGTCCAAGGTCTTCCTCTCCTGCACTGTCCTTCCCAAGGACTAGTCCCTGCTGGCAACTTACACGTCCAAAGTGTGTGAGACAGAGCTTCAAGATCGCCGAGTCCGAGTCTGTGGAGGCCCTGTAGGATTCTATCAACTTTTGTTATAGAAACCCTTGTCTAAAATGTCATAAGCAAACATTTTCCCCAGTCTATATAAGCTTTCTTTTCACCCTACTGAAAAAAGTTTTTGATGCACACAGGGGCTTCATTTTTATAACTTTCCATTTGTCAATTTCTTCCTTTTCTGATTGTATATTTCTGGTGTATTTGCAGCCTATTTATGCCATAGGCTCAGGCTTCTAAGTTTGGTTCCATTTTTGTCTCTTATGATCTCTATGGTTTCGAGTATTACCCCTACGTTTCTGGTCCATTGTCAGTTGATTTTTGTGGATACTGTTTCCGTTTTCTGCAGGTAGCTTTCCCCTTTTGTCAGCACCATTTGTTGAAGAGGTTTTGTTTCCTTGTCAAATACCAGCTGGCCATAGGTAGGTGGGTTGATCGCTCAGTCCGCCATTCCATTGGTTTTTGGGTCTCACTCTACCAATACCATCTGATTTTGAGATCAGGGAGTATTGTGTATGCCTCTTACTTCATTTTTCAGAAGAGCTTTACTTACCCAGGGATTCTTTCCTTTCTAAATAAATCTGCTGGTTGCCTTTTTTGGCTCTTTGAAGAATGGGTTTGGTATTTGTATTGGGATTGCATAGAACATGTTGATTCCTTTTAGTAGGATTGTCATTCTCACAGTTGAGTCTCTATCCATGAACAAGGTGTATTTTCCATGGCTTTTACTGGTTTTGGTAGTGTGTTTTATAGTTTTCCTTTTGTGATAGATCTGTTCAGGTGTTCTGTCTTTGCCAGTTTGGGTAGGGCATGAGTTTCCAAGAATTTGTCCCTTTTCCATAGGTTTTCAAATTTGTCAGAGTATATTGTTATGTGACAGCAAGTTGAGTACAACTCAGTGACCTTATGAACAATAGCTCTGAATCCTGTCCATTACTGAGCCAGTCTTACTGTCTTTGACATTCCTGCCCCATTACGTCAGTCCATCTCATCCAGGGTCTTTCTTGTGCTGTCCCTCCTGGCCACGTGCCCACAGTCCTTGCCTCTATGCAGTATCATGATTTCACCCTCTGCAGGGTAGACCTGTTCTCTTGGAATTCCATGGGATGTTCAGTGCTCATCTCTAGCACCATCATTCAAAGTATCGACCTTTCTTCTGTTAGCCTTAGTCATTGTCCAGCTCTCAGATTATAGCAGGTAATTGCAATGGCCATTACCTGGATCCAGCACACAGTCTCTAGACTGACACTGTTGCTACGTGGCACTCTGGAGAAGTCCCTGACAGCAGACTTTACCAAAGCACTAGTCTTTTGATTTTCTGATGACTGGTGCCCAGGGTTTTTGTTGATCATGGATCTGAGCAAGATGAAATTGGTAACCTCACTCTCTTCTCCATCTATTGTGATACTGCCAGTTGGCCCAGTGGTGAGAGTCTTTGTCTTGATATTGAGCTGCAATCCGTATTGAAGACTGCAGTCCCTGACCTTCTGTTCCAGAATACACTGTTAGATGTCAACTCTTTCATTTCTTACTTGAGTTACTTATTTTTTGTCTATTTTATTGACCCCTATGAAGAACCAGCTCCTGGTCTTGTTGATGGTTTCTGTCGCACTGATTTCAGCCTTTGTTCTTGCTCTATTTGCTGGAGGTGCTGAGTTAAGTAGTTTAATTTAATCTTCCTTTTCTTATGCCATTGCTGAGAACTGCCATCTAAAGACTGCTGCATAGACCAGAGGTTTTTATATGATGTATTTTCATTCATTTTGAAAAACTTTTATTTCTTCTGTAACCCAGTAGTGCTTAAGCAGGGTATTATTTATATAGCTTTCACGTGGTTAGTTTTACGACATTGCAATCTGAGACAATACTCTGTATTATGTTTTCAATTTTTTTGAGAACGTACCATGTGCACTTGGCTGAAGTACCCTGAATACATCTACGACGTCAAGGTGGCTAATTGTTTAGATCTTTTGCATCATTGTTGAGTGTCTTTTGAGTTGACTTGTCCTTGGTTGAACGTGGTATATATATTCATTTCCCACCACCACCACTGGGGTGCTGTTTCTGTCTTCATTATTTGTTAACCATTTTATGTATTTTTCATCTCATTTGGTGAGTACATCTTTACCAAGGTTATGTCTTCTTGATCTGTAGTGTGCCTTTAATCATTCTGTACTGCTCTTGTCTTTGATGATGGCTTTTATCCTGAAGTCTGTCTTGTCAGAGATTCCTATTGCCACTCCTGTTTTCTTTGGGATGCCACTGCTTGGTCTATTTTTTTCACTCCTCATTTCTTAGTTGTGTCTCTTGTAGGCAACATATTGATGTGCTTTAGTTTTTACCCATCTGTTCCTCATTTTTCCTTAATCAGTGCATTTAAGCCGTTCACAGTACTGACAGTCCAGTACTGTTAGTGGCTTTGGTCCGTCCCCTCTGCTGTCTGGGTGAAGGACTTCCCTTGGTATTTCTTGGAGAGTTGGCCTTGTTTTCAACAATTCCTTAAGTTCCTGCAAATGACCTAATTTCTCCTTCCAACTAGATGAAAAGCTTTGCCAGGTATCCGTGGCTGGCAGTTATTTTTAGTTTGCCTTCTGTACATGCCATCCCAGTGTTTTGCTTGCATGGTTTCTGCTGAGATGCCAGAGCTTCATCTGATTGGCTCTCCGTTCTAGGTGACTGTTTTTCTCGCACTGATTTTACATTCTATCCTTGTCTTTGAAGAATTTGACTGTGACAGGTCTTAATGTTTTTCTTTTGGCATCCAGTCTGTTTGGAGTTTGCTGAGCTTCATGAACATGGATTTCCTCATTTTTCATGATATCTGGGAAGTTTTCTTCCACAGTTTGCTTCCCCCCACTACCCTGTTCTGGAATTTGAGTCACACAGACATTGTTCTGTTTGATGTTATCCCACAAGATTTTAATGTTTTCTTCATTTTCCTTCTGTCTTCGAGCTTGCTGACTGTCCAGTCCATCTGTTCCACCATATTGGTCTTGATATTCTGGATTCTATTTGCATACATTTCTGTTGTTTCCGTGTCCATTGTACCCTCTCTGTCTTGTGATTTTTTTTTTAAATTTATGTTCCTGTTTGCTATCCTTTTAACTCTTTCATCATTAGGACCAGTTCATGTAACCCCACACATTGATAGGTTCCCTCTGCCTGTGGCATTCACTGGGTGTGCGATCAGACCTGTTTTTTAAGGAGGACATTTGCTTTGGGTTTTACTAATGTCTGACCTTGCTCGCTTTCCCCTGGCATTATGTGAAGCTCTCAGTGTGTGAGGCAGTTTCTGATCTTCACAATGCTGTTGACAGAGCTGCACACTTTTAATTGCTGCCTGGTAGTGGTCTTCCCCGCTGGTCACCTATGGGGGGCTCTACTCCCCATGTCCTGTAGGAGGCTTCTCATGTCTCAGCTGGTGCTAGTAGCAGACCTGTGTCCTCTCCTGTGGCTGGCTCGGGTGACCCACCTTCTTAATAGCCACAGTAATTTAGGAATAATGCATATTCACCTGTGCTTTGTCCTGCTGTACATTGGGGGTTGCTATGAGGTAGAACTCAGTGGCATGTTAACTAGATCTTTAGTACTGAAAGAAGTCTTTGAAATCCAGTGCATATTTCATACTTACTGGCCATCCCAGTTTGCGTGATTCTAGAAGAAAGGGGCACACAGAGAGAAAGACCTGGGTGCAGGGGTGGCGTGGCCCGGGCTCGGGGGCCCTGACGGTGCTCTCTCGCAGGTTTGTGCTGGAGCAGTACAACGCCCTGTCCTGGCTCACGTGCAACCCGGCCACGCAGGACCGGACCTCCTGCCTCCCCGTCCACTTCGTGGTGCTCACTCAGCTGTACAACGCCATCATGAATACACTCTGAGAGCAGCACTTGTTCTCTCGGGCCCAGTTCCTTCCTCGTCCTTCTCCGCAGACCACTCTCTACAGTGCTGCGCTGTGACCACCTATAGCGGGCTCCTTCCCAGAGGGACTCGGGACGCTCCCCTCTTGGACATGGAAACTTCCAGAAGCAGTGACTTGTTGCCAGTGTCACGGTGTTTGCAGCCCCAAACCACTGGTCCACTGGAAGTTGTTTCTTGGGGTTTTGAGAAGGAAACAGAAGAAACCATATCGTTTTGCACAAGAGCCTGTGTTTCCACCTCTTTCTAAGATGAGAGCCATGTGGCTCCGGGATGAAATCCTCTCCTCGGGTGGTGTGAGGACTTTGTGAACCAGCTCCGGTCCCAGAGCCTCCATGCCTGTGCGTGGCGGGGAGGGCACAGACAGCTGCTCTGTTTATTTATTTTAAATTCTCCGTCATATCGTTTCCTGTGATTTTTCTCCCTTTTCCACTTGCGAGGACCAGGCCCAGCAGTGGACACACAGCTCCTCCTCGCCGTAGGGCTCGTGGCCCTCTTACCTCTGTCCTGGAAGCCAAGGCGGCCTGCAGACACCTGGGAAGGTCAGATCCACCCTGCACTCAGGGGCCCCAAGAACGAGGTTGCTTGGGGTGTCCTGCTGCATTCCTTATTGAAAGAGGCCTGTGCTTCATGAAGGAAAACGTTTCTATCCAGGAGGCCAGAGCCTGGCCTTGAAGACCTTCCCTGATGCACCCGAGTCTTCATGTGGGAATCGACTTTTCTAGTGAATCCAACCGAAAGCCAGGTCTCTCCTCATTAGATCAAACAGTACTCATGTACATATCACAATCAAGTGTTTGCTCAGAAAAAGTCAGTTACGAATGTGGTGAGTTTTGCCTGGACCATAGGAATATTATTTCAAAGAAAGATTGCAACTCACCTTTCAGGTAGTGCTTGAAGTTGGGCCTTTACAGTAGAACTGTTTTAAAGCGGCTGATGGGCGTATTTGCAGACTCCTCTTTCCAGGCCTGAG